TCAGTTTGAGGATCAAACCTAAAATCAAACTTTCCGTTGCTATCAAACACCTTCACGGTTTCATCTCCATCGTCTGCTATCAGGAACTGTCCTTTGGTGTTTGTAGCGATACCACGCGGACCCTTTAGCTTGTGCTTCTCTTCACCCTCCTGACCAAATGACCATAGTAAACAGCAGTGTTCATTACCTTGTTTTTTCAGCGCTTTAACAACTCTTTCGTCGCGGAGCGGATCCACTTTCTCTTTGCCAGTTNAACAGCAGTGTTCATTACCTTGTTTTTTCAGCGCTTTAACAACTCTTTCGTCGCGGAGCGGATCCACTTTCTCTTTGCCAGTTTCAACATAAGGCAACGTCCATCTTTTTACACTACCGAGCATGTTCATTACATCATAGATCGCACGATTAGCGTGACAGACAGAAAAAATTATTTGCCTTCTTTCGTCTTTGTTAAAAAGAGCCCTTAACCCTTCCTCCAACTCAACTTTGAAATATTCTTTAACAGCTGGCACTTGGTGTAACTCGTCAAGGCAGACTTTACAACCCGCTAATGCGTCGGTAGGATTGTCAACCGTCTCCAGTATTGTCGCCATCAGTCGATATTGCATAGCTAACAGACGATCAGGCAATTTCAAAGCTTCATTACTAAAAGCTCTTATTGCTTCAAGACGAGCTTCTTCAAATCTCTTCTTCGCTCTCCCAAGTTTCCTCGTAGCGGACTCATCCAGGGAAGAAAGTTCCAAATTCCTTATTTCTTTAGCAATATCGAATTGCTCAGCACGAACCGTTGCAGCTGCTGTTATCGCGCGATGCTCGCTACCGGACCTGGCACTTTCAAACACCTCATACAACAACTCGATCCCTTCCTTAAAAAGGCTGATACTCGCTAACAAATCCTTTCTTGCTAAACCATCCAACTTTGATTTTATTTCATCGATTTCACGGACGATCAGGCCATGGAATTTCTGATCTGTAATATCACCCTCATTCAACTTTTCTGCCAGTTTATCTCTTCCTTTATTCACCAGCAGGCCGATAGTGGCTTTAAATACAGCAGTTATTAGTGAAGACATGTTGAGTACTCCTTTTAATGAAGATCTCGTTCTGCACTGGTATCTCCTTAACAGTTAAGTTCAAGCGCTGACTGTTAAGATACAAAAAAAATGCATGCGAGGTTAAGTTGTCAGAAATGACTTAAACAGCAAAAATTCGAAGAAAAATTCTAAGAACTAAGTAAAAAAGAGGAGAAAATGATTGTTTAACTCTTTAAAAAAGAAACTTAATAAAAGGTCTACCGTTCACGGGTTGTTGGTGAACTGTGTTCTCTAGGTACTGAGCTTAGCGTTCACTGGTATCCGAATTAAAACCAAAAATCAAGCTGTTGTGTTTTGAGGAAAAATGTCACTTTGCTTATTAACTGTTAGGTAGATATGTATTTCAATACCGTTGTATCCGTCCGGCAAACACGTTAGAAAGACCTGAGGGGTATCTTCTTAATGTACGAGTCAAGTAAATTCATGCGTGCAGCAATAATCTCATGTTGCCAATGATACAGATATCATATACTATACTGAATAGACGGTTTTGGCATTCTGCCATTTCAATTGTGTTATACAGCAATTAAAATGTATAATAATCCTGTACTGATCTTCTCCTCAATATTATTTATCGTCACTCGGCTGTTCACCGTACGAATTCGAAAAGCTTCGAAACCTATTTGTTTCAACATTTACGTAACATTTCATCTGCTTGAAATACAGGTGGCATGAGTAAAACGGGTGTCTCGAAAGGTAAGACCTAAGACCCCCTCCAAATCTCGAAAACTAAGACCTAAGACCCCCTCCAAATCTCAAAAAATAACACCTAAGACCCCCTCCAAATCTCGAAAACTAAAACCTAAGACCTAAGATCTAGGACCCAAGACCCCTTCCAAATCTCGAAAACTAAGACCTAAGACCCCTTCCAAATCTCGAAAACTAAGACCTAAGACCCCCTCCAAATCTCGAAAACTATGACGTTTCAAACACAACGGAAGGGAAGGTGTTAAGACCCTTTGTTCATCTCAAAAACAAGGAAAGGTTTCCTTATTTCAGCAGTAGCATCCCTGCAGCATACTTCTCAAAGTTTCCAGTGAAGTGACGAGCAAACTTACACTGTCTTACTTGAGTATTCTTGAGCGCGAGCTTGACTTTGCTGCGTGACTTTATTCTGTCTTTGTAATAGCAGAGCTCTACGCCCGGCGGGCGGACCCCAATAGCTAAGGAAATGTGGTAATCTACCCATCCGAGAAAATTTGGTAATCTTCACGTGACGTTTTAGTCGTACAAAACAGTGTTGTAGTCGTGCAAAACAACGGCAAGGGAAAGACAAAGTCATTTTCATTGTCGTCCCTGTTTAGCATTAAGCGATTTAATTTTTTTTGTTTACACGTATTATTGAGAACTTCGCTTTTAGCCCTGGCTAAATCTATATATTACATTTTTAAGCGGAAGTGTGTAATAAGTAACGTTGGGACGGTTAGAAGTATTGGAAATCGATAGGGTTTGTTTGAGACGAACTATAAAGCCAACCACTAAAAGAGCGCCCAAATATAGCAGAATATGAAATCCATAGTGATAGTACACGAAAAGCCGTCGGATGTTTCTGGTTTTAGTCGTTTTAACTTGTAGTTCAGTTTTTGAGTTCAAGTAAAGAGAGAAGAAAAATGGAGCTGAAGTGAAAGCGTAGTGACGAGAAAACACTTCTTGTGCTCTGTCAGATTATTGTTTACTTTATTTCCCCTAAACCTGATAACTAAGGTTAAGGGAGTGTGCGCCTGTCGCGTTCGCTCTGATTTTTAGATATGGACTAAGGAAAAAATAATTTTAGCCATTGTACAACCATGGATTATCTACGGATAAATATGGTGCAATAAGTGTTAGTGTTTGAGTATAAAGTTCAATTTTACGCTCGAGTTTCAAACGTGCAATGGTCATTGAAGGATTTCCTGTGCAGCACGGTGTATCTTGTACCGTTGGCAGCCCCGCAAAAATGTTCTGTTATAATATTAAGCTAAAAGTACAATAAATTTCCCCACCCTGTCATTAAAATGTTTTGATGTTGCAACAAACAAAGCGGCAAGTCTAATCATCATGGATGTATTTATTGAAGAAATCTTCGAATGTACAAAGCAAGAACAGTAGAACGTGTTTTATCGGCTCGTTTTTAAATATCCCTCGCGTGACATTTCTAGCCTGCGTAGCTGGAAACGTAGAATATACAGGTCTCACGCAAGGGTGTCAAGGGTCATTTCTGTCAATGTTTTGTTATGTTTGTCGCGACACGTCATGTTCGCGTGACTTTCATTTCGTCTTCGTTTTGTAGTTCAAAGCGGGTATTTCTACAAAACGAAGACCCGATCAGTTTCGCTTGTTCTTGAGCTGAACAAAGGGTTTTAACGCCTTTCCTTCCGTTGTGTTTTAACCGTTGTAAAATTAGCTGAGGGGGTCTTGGGTCTTAGATCTTAGGTCTTAGTTTTCGAGACACCCGATTAAAACAGTAAGATTGGTTTATCAATACCTTTACATGGAATAGAATTTCAAATCAGTCATGCAAAATAGTGGTGGATGCTAGCCGTGACAAATTTCCGCTCCAGGGAGCGGGCAGGAGAGAACCCTGGGAACGAGGTTGGCTTAAGTCTAATAATTATTAAAACTAAGTAATCGGCTCCTAGTTCAGGAGCCGATTACTTGGAGCCTTCATCTCCCATATAAGCCCTTGGAGTCAACCCTTTCCGACAAAAAATTATTTATAGAAATAGCTTTCGTTATTTATTAGACTTAAGCCAACCTCGTTCCCAGGGTTCTCTCCTACCCGCTCCAGGGAGCGGGCAGGAGAGAACCCTGGGAACGAGGTTGGCTTAAGTCTAATAATTATTAAAACTAAGTAATCGGTTCCTGGTTCAGGAGCCGATTACTTGGAGCCTTCATCTCCCATATAAGCCCTTGGAGTCAACCCTTTCCGACAAAAAATTATTTATAGAAATAGCTTTCGTGGAATACTTTTCACGCCTTCTCAATAAAATCCAATCAGAGCAGAGCTACGATCATACGTCACACGCTGAGTGTGACGTGTAATTGCCAAACAGTGTTTAATTTCTTCCTGAGTTTGATAATTCTGCACTCAAAGGCTTTTTGTAGCTTTCATGCTTTGTGGCAACTAAATAACAACTTATATAGCACCATCAAAATGATTAAAAATCCGGACAACATAAACCGATACCTTTCTTCACCTCGACGTGTTGCTTCTCTAAAGGAAATCCTTCAAAATCATGAGAAAACATCTCGATTTTCGCTGTCCCAGGTTGCGGTAGATAAGACACAGAAGACACGACAGTTTCTACTTACAAAGGCCGCGGAAGGCGCAAAATTGCCTCCGATTTGCCGGTTCCACGATCAGCCGTTACTGACCTTACAGTAAGCGCTCCAATTCCCTTTTAAAAAGTCTGGCTCTCCAACAAAGAGTTTCACTTTTTAATTCTTTGAAAAGCTCCTTTTAAATAAGGGCGATGGAATACAACATTACGAGCAACATTTAAACATCCGAACAGTGCTACAACAGCAAACACGACCTCGTGCGTTGCAATAAAATATAGCAATATTTAAGCCAGATTACATATTACTTATATTAACTCAAAACCAACTTTAGTCGGTTGTAAGAGAAGGAACAGAGGCAGAAGCTACGGTGATGGAACAGGGAGTGAACTTGTTGGCCAATTTCCCTCTTTCGTCGCCATTTTTTTTCTCACTACAGAAATATGCGGACGTCCTCGAAAACACATTAATTTCGCGGGAAAGCCTGTTCTAAAAATAATTCTTTACGGGAATGGGTTGACTCAAGGGTACAGCACATATGGAGGCTCCAAGTTAAAAACTTATCGACCAACCGTGGAGATCACAAGTGGCGGATCCAGACCTTCAGATTAGGGGATGGGGGGGGGGCGTTCATCCAGACCCTGAGATACC